AAAATCTATACAAAGCTATATGTGCCACATAAGAATGAATATCAGAAAAATATCAGCTAAAATAAAAATAAAAGTTATAAAAATGTATACATTGTATAACAAATTTTTAACAATATGTAATAAAGTACAAATATAAATAAATAACTCATAAATAATTATTAATATATTTTTTCTGATATATTAATTTGTTTAAGATCAGACTATAAGGCAAATGCAGGGCACTTTCCATATTCAAATCATTCACATTTCAAATAAGGATAAATTAAAATGAAGGATAAGAGAATTTCCTATGAATGAAATTTATAAGATAATTTCAAAAAAATTCCAACATATATATTGAAAAATGAAATATGACTGAATTTACCAGCTTTATACAGATTTTTTTCTAATCCGTAATTTCCTTCTCTATACATTTCACCTTGACGAGCGAGTAATAAATATGTAGGATCCTCCATGCAGCCATCAAATTCTCCACTTTCATCTGCAGTTTCAGTAGAAATAGCTTTGTTGTACCAATAAACAGCTTCTGACCATGATTGCTTTCTAAAAAATAATTTATTTATTCCATTACTTAAAAAAAATAAATATCATGCTATAGTAAACATTAAAATTATTAAAAACTATATTAACACAATCCATTAAAACTGTCAAGAAATTTAATTATTTTCATTAATAATTCATATGTAAGCTAAAATAAAAGCACACCTTGTAACTACAGCAGTATGTTTTAATAGAGTAAAAAACATTTTCAACCTTAGACAGTTTTTATACATTTGTTATTTTCAATTATGATTAATTAATTATTTATATATGTTACCAGCCAAACCCAATTTCAGGCCAAACTAGTTTATCCTACGCATGTCAGGATATACTACTTTAGCCTCGGACAATCTAGTTTGGCCTAAATACTTTAGGCTTAACTAGTTTGACCTAGGCCAAACTGATTTATGTACTACAAATAGGTGCCAGTGTAAAAAAAAATGATTTTGTGTAATTCGAAATGCCACCACAGTACATCCGGTGGTTAAAGTGTACAGTATATAGGTAACCCCAATGGCGGTGCTTCAGTTAGGTTGGTTTGATTAGGTTAACTACATTTTTAGTAGACATTTCCTTTTTTTTTTTCTATAAAACTATAACTTTTTCCAACAACTATAACTTAATTTAAATATTCTGCTTTCATACTGACAGCATGAAATCAAATGAAGCATGCAATGCCATAACATTGTAAATGCCATTTTACAATGTTATGGCATTAAATGGTTCTAAATATGTTTCATTGAAGAAATGAATTCTAAATGCAATGTTTTCTACTACAAAAAACTATTGTGGTGACAGTGGTGCTGTAAGTGGTTGTATTTTGAAGTTGAATTTTATAGGCAAGCCGTAAGGCATTGTACACTTCATATATAAATTCATAGTTTTGATAAGAAAACATATCCTTTCAAAAAAAATATGTTTCCTATTAGAAGCATGAAAAATAATATTATAAAAAAATTTAAATTTTTATCTTTTCTTCCAAGTTTTCTATATAAAAATAGATATCTAAACTGTGAGATGATGCATAATCACATTGTGAGGAGTTGCACCAAAATATTATTTTATGTTCTGGGGCNTAGGCCCTACTGGATATACACACGATCCTCATTATTTTCTCACCCAATTGACCTTTAACCCCTCAAATTTAACCTCAATAATTCCCGTAATAAGCAAATGTCTCGGCAAAATTTCAGACATTTTCGACAAAAAGTACGGGAGTTATTAAGCTTCAAACAAGGGGAACAAAATCGTGCCCCACACACAGTAACACCCATACATATAGAAATTACCCCCGAATTTTATTTGCATTTTTCGACGTTTTAAGGTTTCCCGAATCAAAAAATACAAAAATAATTGAGTGTCATTTTTTGAACGCTCGCCATACTCTCCTCTGTTATATGTAACAACCGGAAAAGTAATTAATGCAGATAAATAATCTGAAGTGTTTCAAATTACAGAGTTCAGGAAGAAAATGTTAGAGATTATAAAAATGTCTTATATTGGGGGGGCACAATTTTGTTCACCCTCTTGAAAGCTTAATTTCTGAAATTTTGTAGTGAAATTTGTTTATTTGGGAGATTAGTGCTGATAAATTTTGGTGGTTAAAAAGGTAGGGAGATAGTGAGTGTCTCGTGAGTACAGTATGGTCGGGATTAATGATGATTTTACTCGTTATTTGCATTCACAATTTTTTTATAAAACCCATTCCTAGGTTCAAAGTAAAGATTTTTGCTATTTTATAATAGTTAAAAATATAAATAGTTACTGAATTACTATTTGTTAAAAAGACCATAGCTAGGAGGAAGGTCTTATGAAGCTGAGCCCCATGGTAATTGAAGAAGTTTACAAACATCTGGTTAAAAAAATATTTTTTTTCTAATAAATATTACTTTCTTCACTAATTATATGATATAGGAAATAAAATATACAGTGAAAATATACGAATATACTGGCATAGAAGGAAAGACAACAAATATTTTAAAAGTTTTTAAATCATACGGTATATGTATAATGTCTAAATTTAAAAATAAATGTAATTTAGTTGTAAGTACTATAAAAAAAATAATATAGAAAACTTAGAAACAGCGGGAGTTGTATACAGAATTTGTTGTACAAAAGATAAAAAAAAATATTATGAGGATGAAACTGGATTAAACTGAAATTACGTGTTAAGGAATACGAAGCCTATATTAGGCTAAAGATTCAACGACTCTTATCATGAATAACATATCCCCATTAATAACATGAATTCAAATAAAAGATTGTATGATTAATGCTTGGATTAGGTTCTTAAATATGCATAGAAACAAAAATTCGTATCGAATTTTATGGAAAAACATTTTATTTTATTAAAATAAAAACAAAAATATTTGCTTGTTTTATTTATTTTATTTTTTTTTTGTTTTGAGATGTTGGATTATCTCGTAATATATTCGATTTTCTCTTTTGACTGTACACGTTTCTTTATAAGAAATCTGCTCTAATTAATTAATTTATGATGAGGAGTCAATAACATCAATGATAATTTTATAGTATTAGATTTAGATCTACAGCAATCCAAAAATTTTGCTGTTTCGATCGCGTTGATATCTATAGTAGTAGACTATATAAAAAAATTCAGTAACGAGTTGCATAACTTTCTCAGCAAAACCATTTAAAATTTTCAGGCATAAAACTTCAGCATAACTTTCAGTATAGAGATGAGTTTTATAAAAGAAAAAATTTGTAAATGATAACAGCAAGTAAAATCATCATTAAGTCCGATTTTACTTGAAATATGACGCACGACCCCACTATCTCCCCGCCCCGACCTTATCGACCTTAATCACCAAAGTTTAGTAGAATTAATCCCCAAATATACAAATTTGCATACAAAATTTCAGAAATTTTCGATTAAAGACACAGGAGTTATCGAGCTTGAAAGCGAGTGAACAAAATCGAATACACGTTCACACATAAACACACTAACATTCATGTATACAGAACAAACCCCGAGTCCATTATTATTAATTTTTTTTTTATTACTTCTCGACATTTTTGGGTCCCCGAGTGCAAAAATGTAAGTCTTGAAGGTCAATTTTGGATCCCGATCGTCATAGTTTTTAGTTTTTCTCTCTTATGTATATCAAAACCGTAAAAGTAATATGTTAAAATTTATTTTAAAATGTGAATGTTTACTACATTATTTTTAAGGAAAACGATTAATTTACTGTATCATAAATCCTGCGAGACATCATTCGTTTGCCTTAGGGGCTTAGAATCGTACCAATTATAATTAGCATTATATCGATGTTTCGGTATATTTAATGGTTTTATTTCAATAATTAAAAATAGGAGTAATTGTATTTGTGATGTGATAAAAATTATGTACACAGTGTATTCATTAATTTTCATTTTCATGTAGTAAAGGCTATATGCCTTCATAAAGGACGTACTTTTCCTTTGTTTAAGGGTATTTAAACAGTTTATTCTCTGTTGTGTTTTCAAGTAAACAATACATACAAGTACAGTACAGTATTTTCTGAGGAAACACTCGTACTTATTTTTTTTTTTAACCCCATTCCCGATAACCCGGCATTTTCACAAACTCGGCCACCCTTCGGTCCATATTAGGCCGAGTTTTCGAGGTTCTACTGTACTGTATTTGTAATTCGCCGACTGGCGATTTATACATCGGGCCAGGCTCACCGTTGTCCCTCTTCGCGGCCTTCGCCGCTTCGGCAACGCCAGCCAGAACTGTCGCCGCTGCCAACTATATAATTTTCCTACTTGGAAAAATTCCAAGATATTTATCTGGATTAACTTTAATTTACGTTTGTAAAATGTAAATATAATCATAGAAAAAATAGTTTAGACTTCGTGGAATGATTTCCTAATAAAAGGTCTGTTTGTTTCTACCATCAAAATTTCGTACAAGGCACGTGACTGTCGACACATTTTTCCGATCGATGTTTACGTAGGGAAAACATATTTCCGTCCTCCTCAAAACATACCTTTTCATAGAAAGGTTTAATGAGTTTTATTATGTTCATAGATTCTATGTGTGCAGGAAATATACGAAATTACATTCGAAATACATTCAGCGTAAGGTTAGAATCAAATATCAACAAATGTACAGTAGACCCCCTAAAACACTGTAGCTAATTCCGTGTTATATAAATTCCATGTTGTACGAGTCACTTAGATTTTACAAATACGTGTGCCGGGATGTGAACGGCTCACGTATTTGTAAAATCTAAGTGACTCGTACAAGATGGAATTCGTATAACAAAGAATTATCTACAGCAGTGGTTCTCAACTGGGGGTACATGTACCCCTAGGGGTACGAACATAAATCGAAGGGGTACATCTAACTTTCATTATAAAATGGCGTATGTTAATCAATTTTCTGTAAATTATTAACACAAGAAATAAGAAACGACAAAAACTTGCTTTAAAATATCCCAGTGTGAATACCGATTTCCGTTTTAACAGTCTAAACAACTTGTTTATCCACTTGATTTGCTTGTCTATTTGTGTTGTTAGTACTGAGTGAACCTGTAGTCTAGTAAAATTACGGTTTAACCAAGCATTCATTTTAGAATAGAAAAATTTTTTTCTATTCTATAATTATTGATTGATAAGATTGGGGTTTTTCGTGTTTTTACTGGACTACTGGTATTAGGAATAACGAGGCCTGGATCGTACCCCACCATGCAATGCGTTCCACTGCATGGCGCATTACTTCATATTTAGCAAATTTAGATGTTATGTTTGTTACAAAAATTGAAAGATTCATGTATTGTTCTGCACGTTATAAATTCGCAGCCATTACTTTCAAGGTCAGTACACAATTATAATTTCTATTTAACAACGTGGGAACCAAATATCTCATTAAATTTTGTTAGAAATTATTGTATAATAATTAAAATTTTCTTTATTGTTAATTATAATTATTTATTTTTAGGAAATGTAATTTATGCATGTATTAAAATGACTTCTCTGATTTTATATAATATACTTGTCAAATAATAATAAATAAATAAATGTACCTGATTAAATTTATTATTATTTATGTAAAATAAGTAATTCACTTTTAGTTATAGTTAGTTAGTTAGTTAGTTTTTTTATGGCGCTCATTTGTAAGGGCTGTATACATCTAATGCAGTAATTATAAAATTTACATACCAAAATATAAGGGGTACTTAGAAACAACTAATGGGCTAATGGGGTACATCAACAAAAAAGGTTGAGAACCACTGTTC